TGTTTTAGGGCAATTGGGGCTTTTAGTTCCATGGATAATGCAGTTTATTTTCATGGCAGATTCGCTAAAGCTCCAGAAGTCTACTTCAACAAAAATTACAAATGTACTTCTCTGGGGATATTTGTCTTTTTAAGACCTCCCAGTACCTGCTAGCATAAAGGTTAAAGGATGGGCAGTTTGGGGCCTTGAGGGCATGGGCTAAGCCGGCATCTGTAGTGTGGAGTTTGCTCCACATTAGCTGAATTTGCTACCCCAAGATAATGCTGAAAACTGCATRGTCAAAGCAAAATCGTGCCTTATATCAGGACCTGGCAGCACAGCACCAAAGCTCTCGGAAACCTGAGAGGGGTGATGATGCTACTGAAGGCTGAAGTTGGTCCTTCTTCTAAATTCTCCAGGTGTTYTAAGTGTTCCAATAAATTATTGTAATGTTCCAGCTTATTATGCACAGAATTGTTACCTAAATTATAGTAATATACATCTGAGTCATTCTTACCATTCGGAGATTAGTTTGAGAGCCTCATTCAGTGTGTCAGGTAGATGGAACTTGAAAATACTGACACAAATTCTCTGGGCTTATACATTTTTCATTCTATTTTTCTTTTTCATGCTACTATAATGGTACTGTTTCAACATCAATATATTAGAAAGAAAATGATATCAGAGTGCTTACATTATTTTCATGTGATCAGGTACCCCAAAATACTTGTATTTTGGAAGTCCTCATGCGCAAAGATGTACTTCACTAATGAGGCAGGTTGAGCCACACCAAGGTGCTACATTGACTGAGAGACCAGAAGTTAACCTGGTCTCTGAGTTGAGAAGCTTCAAGGCTTCCATTCTGCTTTAAGTTGGGAGTTGGGATTTTTTCGAAGAGCAGATTTCGCCCTAGAGTCATTGGTCTTTTAGAAAAAAAATACTAAGGACAGAGCACACCCTTGGCAACAGCGCAGTCTTGCTTGCTCTTGCTTGCTTCTACTTGCAATGAAGTAGCACTCATGGGTGATTACTTCATGTAGGCCAAAACATACTGTGCAATCAGGAAACTATGAGGTCTAATTACTGTTGCTTTGCAGCTGATATGAGGAGGAGCTTGAGCCATGCAGGCARCTATGAGGCTGGTGAGAGCTCTGTGGGACACCTGTAGTAACGTATGGAGGAGCTCACATGCACTGGGAGATTGCCAAACATAGCATTTTAAAAGTACATAGCAYGAAATATGAAACATGAGGTGGCTGTGGACTGGCTTATGAGAGAGGTTTTAACCATCAAAAGGAATTTTGCCAAGTCGTGCTTGGAGGCAATAACCACTTGGAGGACGCGGCACTGRCTGCAGTGTGGTGTCCTTGGGTTTCTGTGGCCAGCAGTGAGTCCACAGCAGGACTCGGTACATGCTGTGACAGCAACTGGAATGATGGAGGTGCCGGCAAATGAAGCTGGAGCCGTGCTGAGGGCCAGGGCTCTGCAACGGGCCAGAGGAGCAGGGGTGGCCGGAGCTTGGTCTTCRTGCCCATTGCCACAAGGGGCTCTCCCGGTGGCCACTGGAAAGGAGAACGGGGAAGGAGCAGCCATTTCCTTTCCTGATGAGAAGTTTTACTTCTCAATAGCTTTCAATCTGGGAGCTGTTGTGGAGCAGATCGCTGATGTGGTTGCGAGGACCAGGTGACGATGACCTCTGGTTTCTCTTCCATTCTAGGTCATGCAAGAGACAACTGCACCAGTACAGGGGTATTAACATGCAGTGAGAGAGAAGGCAGAGCTGTCAAGTGTCCTGGCTTTATGGTAGTAGCAGCCATATTTCAGAGTTATCTGTGGTCTCAAACGCTCAGTTAAAGGTCRTTCATCTATAAGAAATTTGGATATTCTTTAACCTTTCTTAGTCTCTCCTGCTTTCTCTCAGTACACTTTGGAGTCATCTCTAATACTTCTAGCCGTGTCTATTAGGAATGCACCTGATCACAAAGGGACAGGCAGGGGAGAGCTCCATAATAAGCTATTCTTGACTCCAGATAATCTTCTCCGGGGGGAGCAAGTAACATGGGCAGGTCACGGCTGCCAAAATAAAGCATATTTTTTTCTTTTTGATTTCTACAGAATAAAATTTTATACTGATGAATCGAATAATCTGAACACTGAGCTCTCGAAAGCAGGTCATTAAGTACTTGGGAGGAAAATGTGTTTTCTAGTGTTCCTAATTTTACTGGAGGGAATTGCCTTGTTTTCTAACTCTTGGCTTTAAAATCGAAGGTCTTCTACAGGAAAGAAAAAAAAAATAGAAAAATTGATCATTTGATTTCAGCAGAAAGAAAATAATTATCTCTAAGAGTAACATTTTGAATGAAGAATAACATTTTTCTATTGATTTCTTTCAAACAATAAAGTGTCTGAAAACAAAATTTTTCTATTATTGCCCAACATAGATTTTGCAGTCAATACAGAGCGAAGATTGCCTCAAATTGGAAAGCACAGAGACAACGGTGGCATTGGTTTTGCATTGCCGTTTGTTTTAAACAAACCATCAGCAATCCTTCATGGGGTTAGGAGAGCTGGCACTCGCATGAGTCATCTTGGCCTGTGGCACTTTCAGAAGCAGTGGGTTGCACTCACTTGCTGTGGCCACCATGGAGCAGTTATGGGACCTATTAGACCCTCGCCAGGGTCATTCGATCTCATTGTYTCAGACATCCAAGAAGAGCAGAGGTCCATTTTGCTGTCTTCCACAGTTCAGGTGCGCTGAGCTCCCTTTTCCTGTGGTAAAATCTCCCTTCTCCTCTTTCCCACCTGTCCTTTGCGTGACTGGAGAGTGAGGGGTCAGTGCAAACATCTTTTTTGGCTGCTTTTTTGGTCATTCAGTAAGAAGATGCCCTGCATGTTGATGTGACTTGTTTGTGCAGTGCACTCGGTGTTGTACCTAGCGGTGCTGTCTAGTTCAGATATGCAGGGAACCATAACAGGGTATTCCACAYGTGGGGAAGGTGGTTGGTGACAAGGGTACCATTCAATGTCAGCACCTTTTACYGGTATTATATGATACATTTCAAGGCAATGAACACAGAGGTCATGACACCCACCTACCTCTCACCGCAGCCCTTTTCTGAGCACTTTGAAGTGAGGTTAATGGCCTATGGCTTGCATTCCCTACCTAAAAATATAACCTGGAAGTCTTGGCTTTGCTTTCATTGGGTTTGCATTTTTTTCCAAAAGCTGCTGCAATAATTACCTTAACAGAGAGCTTTCTGTGGAGTTAATGTTCATCTGGTTTAATGGCCCCTGGTTATTCTCAGGCCATCAACTTTTCCCAGCTGGTCATCAATCCCAAAGAAATGTCTTGTGCCTCCATTATTATTGCTTAAGTAGGTGAGATTTGTGGTACAGCCATTGCCTCCCAATGAGATAATATTACAGCCAAAAGCTTTTTTCTCCTTGCTTTCAATATTGCCAGGCATTATAAACAGCTGGGATGAGAATGTGGATGCGAGTTTTGTAGATTTGGACTAAATGAATTTGAGTGAGGCCAGGGAAATGACTTGCCCTGAGCACATCACTCATGCATCATTCAAGAATTAGTTGGGCAAGACCTGAATGTTTCTGTGTGACAGCTTTTTAGCCAAAAGGAACAGCTTTGAAACAAGATCTGGGACAGATGCATTGGGTGGTTAGGATGAGAGAAGGTGTTAATGTTTTTCTTCTTGCAAATGTTGAGCTTTCTTATCCCTCACCAAAAAGTTTCCTCAGCTCCACTGATGGTTGCTTTGGTTCCCTAACAAGTGATTGCTTCTCTTTAAAAGAAAAAAAGTCAAGTTGTTGCTCAGTAGGCTAGAAACCAGCAGAGATTGTTAGGTGAAAATGTCTTGCTATGTGGATATTCAAACCCATGTGAGTTAACAGCAGTGCTGAGCACGTTTCCTGTAACCTCATTAGCACTTCATCTTGCTTTTCCAAGCATGATGGTGGAGCAGCTAGTTCACCTTACAGCCTTTTGCTAGGTAATTCATCAAAGTGGCAGATGAAAGCCTGAAGGAAAATACGTGTAAATACTGTGTTAGAAACTTTGGCTCACAAAGGCATGAACATTTCTACCCATATCATTAGCTCTGGGTTATAATACATATAAAGGAAAGAAAATGGACCTTTTGTTTTGGAGAAGATGGGGATATAAAGCTTATTGGTTACATCATTATGCAAAATGCCAGTATTTTTAGTTATTATTGTCTTTAATGAAAAAAGCACTTAATCATTCATTAGCTAATCTCATGGAAAATAACTCAGACTGCACCCATGAAACAAAATCATATTTAACCATAACTTGTCAAGTCAGAAAAAGGTCAGAATAAAAAAAAATGTATGAGGTAAAATATATGTCTTACACACGGTAATGACCAGCTCTGCCTGTTGAGCCACAATGAAGGAACGCAGGTTTGGTACTTGCATGGAAGAAGTGTGAAAGGATTGGACTAAGTTTTCTAATTTAACCAAACGTCTTAATTTTGGGATGAAAACCTATTCACACATGTGCTCATTAGCACTAGGCATATGAATGATTTTTTCCGCAAAAAAAGATGGTAGAGGAACTCATGTGGCTCATTTAGAATCATAGAATCATAGAATGCTTAAAGTTGGAAGGGACCTCAGAGGTCATCTAGTCCAACCCCYCCYGCTCATGTATGGCAAGAGGAMGAAGTACAGTTCTAGGCAGCAAGGAACAGCATTATGGTATATGAAGGTTAAGCAGAAGAGGAAAGGAGGATTCAAACAGTGGCCTTGACTCTGCAAAAGAATTTTGTTTGTAAGCCAGACGCTTCCACCTTCATTTCCCCATCTACAAAACGAGCAGATCCTGTTGATTTACAAAGACTGACGAGAGAGGTTTATGTAAAGTCCTCTGCAATATTTTGCTCTAGAGTATGCCATGTACGTGTAAGATATTAGCTTCAGTTATCACTTACATAGTGAATGGGAAGGCGTTTGCAGCTAATTTTAAGGTATGTGTGTCTTTGCAGCCTTTAAAGATGCACTGCAAGAGTTGTGCATTGGTCACCAGTTCTGGACACCTTCTGGGAAGCAAACAAGGTGACAAAATTGACCAGACAGAGTGTGTAATACGAATGAACGATGCACCTACCCGAGGTTATGGAAAAGATGTGGGCAACAGAACAAGCCTTCGAGTCATCGCACACTCCAGCATTCAGAGGATTTTACGAAATCGCAACGAACTCTTAAATATGAGCCACGGAGCCGTATTTATCTTCTGGGGTCCTAGCAGCTACATGAGGAGAGATGGAAAAGGCTTGGTGTATAATAACCTGCAGCTGATGAACCAGATACTGCCTCAATTAAAAGCATATATGATTTCTCGCCATAAGATGCTTCAATTTGATGACTTATTCAAACGGGAAACTGGGAAAGACAGGTAAGAAAACTTCTGTGTATACATTTAGGGGAAGTCCTACTGTGTGGTAATGTAGTTTATATGCATCAGTTTCAGAGGGAACTTCATCTCCATTAAATAGTCTGCCTCATGAGTTGTAATGTGATATGACATGCCAAGTAACATTACTTGTAATATAAGTAAAAAACATGCATCTAAATAATGCACACTGAATATTGCCTCATCAACTTATAATACCAGAATCAGGATGTACTGTTTATATAGCCAAAGAGGTAGGAAATGTTTAAAACTCACTTTGGGGTAATATAACTGAAAGTTTTCTACTGATTTAGAAAAATCAGAATGGATAGGTTATGTTTTCTTATAGAGAAAATGCCATTATTCTGTGAAGTGTAATAGTTGTTTATTGAATTTAAGCATTCTTGGAACATTGCAGCTGTAAAGCTTCTTGTAAAACAAATAAACATTACTCATACATTAGGTGCTTCTGAACAGTTCRTCTTACATCTCCAACTGGGAAAAGGAAAGTTATTATGATAGTTACATCTTTATGAGACTGTTTATGACTTGCAGGCTGATCTTCAAATCAAATTYTTAATAAGTGACCCACTGCAGGACTTGAGCATTTTCACATATAAGGTTTGAAAATTGGCATTTAAGCAAAAGACTTCCTAGAGGGAAATGCATTTATTTTTAATGAACTCATATTTTTACTTACTAAATATTCAGCTGTAAAAAACAGAGCAGGGTCCCCACWTAGGTTCAAATGAAGAGGTAGATTGCTGTGCAAAAGCTCATGGTAAAATTCTCTGTCTTCACAAAAACTACACATGCACATCAAAGCCCAGCAGCTGGGCTTGATCCTGTGTGGCCAGGCAGTGCTTAAGAGCACAGACTTTGTCTTCTGGGCAGCACAGAAAAGGCAGAGCCAGTGACGCAGTGAACTGTTGCAGCCTATGCCCGATGGAGACGGTGTCTTTGCTTTGCATTTGTGTCGTTGCCATATTCCACACACTTTGCTTGCACAGCTCTGTTCAGGCGTAGTGGATCAAACTAAGTTTCTAAATTCTTGATTGACCTACGCTAACACTGAAGTGCACAGTAACTATTTAGGTCTTACCATTAAAGGGACTTTCCTCTTCAGCTGGAAATTATGCCTGCAGAGCTCTTCCTTTGCTGGAACTAGGAGGCAGCCTAACCCTCCCAGCTCTGCTGTCTGGCTGCTTTTTCCAGGTTTGTTCCTCTGGTCATGGAGCAAGCGAGGCTGTTAAAACCTATGAAAATCAAGCAGGGTAAAGGCTTTTCAGTATTCAGAGGCAAGTACGTGGAGCTCCTGTCCAGAGCAGACCCATAGATGGGTCTTGGACAGTGTTTCTCTGCACAGGCCCCAGTCTCAAGGAGTTTGAGACTTTAGTGGAGTTATTGCACATTATCTTGGGCTCAATCATGGACATCCTAAACTTGGGTGAGCCAAGTGTGCTTAGATGCTAGCAAAATTCAGCCTCACAAACAGGTCCTGTTGCATTTAGGGAATGGCAGGCTCTACTGTACGGCACCTGCTCCTTTAGAGCAGGTATGCACATACAGCATACTTGAAGATTAAGAAGATGATTAAAACAAGAAATGAAAGTAAATAATTAGGCAGCATGGAGAACTGAGAGTGAGAAGATGAAAAGGACTTTGTAAGGAAAGACAATTTACACAGCTGTGGGAGCAGGAGCACAGCACTGTGTGTCCCAGCGAGCTCACCCTTCCCGGGGAGGCTCTGCTGAGCTCTCACCATCACTGCCTACAAAAACAAAGGTGCAACAGGGAAGTCTGATTGCAAGGTTACCATAATCAAACCATTCACTTCTCTCTTGAAAATGATGAGAAAAATGTAATTGTGTCTTACAAAAAAAAAAAAAAAAAAGCTGATTTTAAGATGAAGGGAAACCTTCAGAAAACATTACACTTAAACAGTAAAGTGACTGCCAAGCAATATACTTGGTATTATAAAGTAACTGTACTTGAAAATAACTTTATAATTGAATAAGGGTACATTAAGAAAATATGATTCAGAACCAATATTATAGTAATTAGATAAAGGAAGCATAAATGAAATAACTGCAGGAAGAATATTTCCATAGAGATTATAAATGAGATTTTGGTGGAGCAGAAAGGCCTTTAATTGTAATTTAGTGTGCACTACAGAATTATCAGCACAGTGTGTTAGTTCACCATATAAAAGAATATCTGATAATTCCCCCTAATAAGCACATGACAGTTCTTCATATTCTTTCATTACAACTGATTAGGTATAAAAACAGTATCCTTTTGTTGGAATCTTGTTCAGCTCTTTCAGGAAAAGGCAAGACACTAACTGTGGTTCTGCACTGCTGTCCTAGAAAGGTGGTATTTGAAGAGGATCTAGATTGGTACTTGCATAAGTTTTTAAGTCTTTATTCCACTGTTTTTTTTTTAAAGCTAGTTCATTTCAAACCAGTTATTATCCTGTTAATTGAAAACAGCAAAGGACAAAATACCTGTGTAATTGGCACAACAACTAACCCAGCCTACAGCCTAATTAGTTTTTCTGACCTGGGCAAGGGCTAGCCACTTAGAGCATGGTCAAAATATAATTGCTTTCTCTGTTTTGGAAAACAAAATCTTAGTTGTCTGAAACAGTGGCCACGTACAGGCTCCCAAGTATGCTGGGCTGACCAAGTATCTAAATTGCCTAGTGATTCATAAGTTTATAACTTCTCAAGTGGCAGGAAAGCAAATTTTTAAGCTTTTCTCTTCCTTTCTCGTTCGTAATAATTTTGAGCCAGAAATCATTTACTGTTTTGTATTGCTGTAGTGCCTAAAGGCCTCTGCTGAGCTTATGACTCTGCTGCTACACTGTGACGAATTGGTTCAAAAAAACAGCTTACTTACAAATTCAGAAAAGAGGCAAAGCWCCATGATTTGGGCTAATTAGATGCTTAAATCACAGCATGTTAGTCTCAAAATGCAAGTTTAGCCTSAAAGTCTGTACAGGAGCAGGAGCAGCAGGGAATTACAGGTCCTCTTCAGAGTATCTGGACAGACTCAGGCTCCTCAGCATCCCTTAGGTCTCTTGAGTTAAACTATTCCCTTGTGTTGACAAGAGCTGTTTCTCTGAGAAAAAGRGAGACCTTGGTGTCTAGGTTCAGCCCCCTTTTGGGACTGTTTTGCAGTCCACACTGGAGCCAGGACCCTGGATTAGCCAGGCTCCGGTACAAAAGGCAGACAGAGTGGGTAGGAACTTAACACAGGACTGGGGATTTCCGTGCATGTGCAAGGCAACCAGTGACCATGATAACACTGAAATCTCATATACTAAACAGCAAYGACAAGCAAATGCTCAGGAATGCACTGTTCCCATTTAGCAGATAAGGCCCTGTGAGATAGCAAAGTTTAAGCCCTGATTGTAAATCTCATATTTGTAGCCGTAACTTCAAAGCACTGCCCATCTTTTGCTTAAACAAGGCTGAGATCAGTTGTGCTTCTTTTAACAATAAGTCCTAGCCTGCTGTATAGGCCAGGAAAGAAGCTGCCTTAGAGGACTCCTGGTGTTGTCCCCCACATCCCTCCCATCTAGTCAGGGCTCCTGGAGCAGCAGTGGGAGGAAGGTTTTCCAGGTTGGCTCTTAGGCAGGCGCAGATGCAGCTGCCACAGGAATTTCCTGCCAGTCATCACGGTGGTTTGGGCGCATGGAGGTCTCCATTGCCAGGGAACATCCAGAAACCAAACTCTGCAAGCGGAGGATTGACTACATCTGAGGCCAGGTCCTATTCCAGAAGAGGACCTCCTCTGTAGGGTGTGGAGGTAGCATTTAAACAGTCCTCTTCATCCCTGCACTGAGTCATTTAGTGTGCAAGTTCCATTAAGTGATTCTGGAYGTGTGATATTTTCCCAGTACATTACTAGCAGAAGACTATAAATATAGGACATGAAGTTTCAGTCACTTAAGGTAAACTTATCAAAAGGTCAGCTAAATATTAACATTGCTGTGCCCAAAATTAATTGCAGCAAAGGTGGTTTCTGCATAGATTAGTCCATTGACAGAAGACATGACTAAAATCATTAAAAGATGAATGAGCCAAAGTAGTCTTGGTTGCCCAATTTTCGTAACCTTCCATAAGAATGAAAAAACTGCCTAGAAATTGGTTCAGATATCTCAAGAATTATTTGTCAGCCTAGGAACTTAATTATGTTTTTGCTTTCAGGAAGATATCCAACACTTGGCTTAGCACGGGCTGGTTCACAATGACTATCGCATTAGAGCTCTGTGACAGGATAAATGTTTATGGCATGGTGCCACCGGATTTCTGCAGGTAGGATTCATTTCAGAACCGTTATTAGCCAACAAGGTTGAATGTTATAGATAAATATCAGAATCTTTAATTTTTTTCTATGATATATGTCTTCAGTCCCCTTAAACCAATTAATTAACATGCCCCAAATCTGATTCTGTAAAACATCGTTTAATTATGCTATATAAAAGTTTTTGTTTGTAGTGTGGGATAATTAATCCATCTTGGTGTCTTTTAGCTTCTGAATATTTATCACCTAGAAATAATGCAATAATTGGCATGAAATTAATCTGAAAAAAAGGAGTCCTGGAAAATATTACTTTTAATTTTTTTTTAAAGGCCTTCCCTGCCTCTTAATGGAGTATTGGAGTTCTCATCATGACTAGTTTCTGACTTGAATCTTTTTATGTAAACAAAATGAAGATTGTTTTATCTGTGTCACGTAAATCCCAGTCTTCCTGTAAACTGGCTTCCTGAATAATCCCCACAAAAGTATAATTTGTTCTTGCAGAATAGATAGACCTGTAATCATCCATATTGGTTATGCAAAATGCAAGTAAAAAACAATGCAAAGAGTATGCACATTCTGCCAGTGGAGGCTGTGTGAGCCGTTGACCCTGGCTTGCATTGATTTTACAGCTACGTTACACTGCAGGCCAAATTCAAGACTTGAGGCTGACGTGCTGGATAACATTTCACTATGGACCAGTGCTAGGAAATCAGTTTTCCAAACTCCTGGTACTGGACCAAAATCGTGTTAACTACATAATGCAAAGCATCCATCCGGGCTGAAATTCATATAAATTTGTTTGCATCGGCAGTCCTCATGTTGTCAAATACGTCTGTCCCACCATTGCAGTAAGGGCTTCCAGAGAGATGTGGCCATATGCCTGCACCTTGGCCCAATCCCACTTGTATCGTTAGGTGATCCAGCTATGCCCAGAGCTGGTCCTGCCAGTCATGGCAAGATGGCTTTGTGGTAACGTTTCATCGCCTGCTCCTAACCCCCTTCTTTCTAGGATGCACTTACTTTCCTGAGGTTTCTCTTGCAAATTTACTCACCTCACCAAAGTCTAGTTCATTAGTGAGATGCCATTCAGGGCTACGGGGTGCAGGGCTGCAGTACCAGGTTAGTTCATCTATCATAAGAATAGTTTGATTTTCTTCTTCTGAGTACCAATACGGTTGAGTCAGGCATCTGCGTTTGTCCTAAGCAAAAAGAAGTAGAATTCCCTTAAGAAATTACAATATTAAATGTCAACCCTAAATTCCACTTTGTGAGAACTTCTACAAATTGAAAGAAAACACTGATGACAAATGCAGTAATGTACTGCCAGCTTTCAATGTGAATCCTCCTAGGAAAATAACAAACAAGATCAGATGGTCCAAACAACATAAATACTTTCTGCAGCACAGCACTTCTATTGCCCTGTTGTTCCTGTTGGCCAAGACACTTGTCTCCAGTTCCTGTGCTGGAGCCGTTGTGCCCCCGGCATCACTGCAGTGACTGCCCTGTCTTACTCCAGAAGAGGCTGCATTCCAGTGGCTCATGAAAGTAATTCTTACACAGACGAACTAACGTTGCGTGTCAGTGTAAAACGCAGCACAGTCCTTACTTTGCAAGCTAGAAAGACAAAATTAAAGATCCGTCAAAGGAATATGTTGCCATACATGGAAATTTACCTCTCAGTCTGTTCTTTATCCACTTATGCACACACTAAGAAGTTAAAACAGTGTTTCCTTTCACAGAAGGAAGACCAGAAGAAAAAAAAAAGAAAAAGAACAGTGTAAGAAATAYTTTGTAAATGGCTGTATTTTATGACAGACTTCTATGTCTTTCAGGCRGATGAAATACAAATCTACCATTAAAAAAAAAGACCAGCCCTTCTCTAACTCTGTTAGAAATTACATAGTTACAAGCATATTTTATTTGCTGTGCAATTAAAGCACTTAAGATCTAAAAACGAATCTAATATTCTTATTTCTATTCAGGTTCAATGTCACCAAATTTACAACTTCAGCAGCTACCCATTATTTTTTAAGTATAAATTTGTGGAGTAAGTAATGAGTGTGGGGGGAAATCACTGCTATGGAACTAAATTASTATCACATTGGTAACATGAAGGACATCTCAAAGGTATCATGAATATCCTACTGTTGATTCTGCTACAAATTATTAGCTTAAGATCATTAACCAAATTGCTTCTTACCCGGGCAGGAAAAACAGCCTGGCTAAAGGGGAGCGTGCATTACAGATTAAAAAGATTTGTTGCTATTAATTGCAACAATGTGGTTTAGATTCATTTCTATTTACTTTCACTGGCTATTGATTTTATAGTTGAACTGGAATTGGTGACCTGATTATTGTGAATTTCTGAGTATGCTGCGGCAAAGCGCTCTGCACTATTGAATCTCTTTACTTGGCTACACACTTAACACTGGACTGTATTAGGGGTTAATGGCTTTGATACAGCTCTCATGCTGTTAAATACATCTGACTTGCACATTCTAGCAATAAGAGGACAGCCAACGCCARCAGGCACATTGCAAAGATCTCCGGAGAGAGTTTGTACCTGCACCTCATTCTTTGGTCTGAAGAAACTCAAGGAAGACATTTCATCTTGCTGTATTATTTTCAGGGTGCAGGGATCCACTCTTGGCCCCTGTGGGAAGGAGCAGGTACCCCAGACAGGCAGCGTTTCCTTTTTGGGGCTGCCTTAGCACCATGCACAGGTCTCTTGACCTGGGCCATCAAGGATTTTTCTTTTTTTTTCCCCCACATCCTGCACACTTTGCTGCTCAGCAGCATCCTGGAAGGACACAGGCCTCCCTTGCTGCGGTTTGCGATGACACCAGCCCCTGTCTGCCTGAATATCTCCTTAGGTGTCCCCACTCAYGCGAGGAAGACTCAAGGCGGTAGTGAGAAGAGCCCTCTTGTCCTGCCCTTCTCTTCATGGGATTTCTRGAGCTCACAGAATCCTAAAGCTTATTCAGAACCTTATTTTAACAGATATGAATACAGAGCTAGATCATTTTCCTGTGGAGAATCATTTGACTATTAGGCCATTTCCCATCTGTGATAATTTGCCTGAAAATTGGCTTTTGAAATCCTTTAATTTATTCCTCTGGGCACAGCTTTTAAATCTAGTGTTTTCTTACCTCTCTTTCCTCACTTTCAATTGCTTTAAATCAAATGCAAAAAAAGGAGCTGTTGCCAGTCGCATCTGCTGGGCTTTTTGAGAGGTGTTTGCAAGATTTTTAAACTCCAGACGTATGACAGATAGTCATGGCCTTTAATCTTTACCCCGCATCTCACCTCATTACCTAGCAGCTACCGCATTATCTGGCTTTGTGGAGCCGGAGCAAAAATGTATAGAGTTCAGCAAAACTGAGCTTGAAAGAAGGCTGAAGAAATGAGATATCAGCAATAGAAAGCAAAAATATATCCAGAAATCTTTACACTCCTGCTGTAGTGCCCTGCCCATCATTTACCATGAAAACAACATTTTAGTYGCCCTTCAACATGTGAATTCCTTTACAAAGCAAGTGAATACGGAGAGTTTTGTGGGCTGATTTATAATCGCTTTTAGTTTGTAAAGGAAGAGGTTGCCCAGAACGCGCTATGGGTTGGCCTTATTTTTCCGCGTTGTTTCTTCTGCAGCAACCTCTGCTTACTGTACTTTGAGCTCTCAGTGTGGGTGGATACCATCTGTGGGAAAATGTGCACCCAAGTGGCAAAGAGGAGCTGATTGACATTGGGTACAAGCACTTCTGCTGTTGCTGTGCTGGCAGGCTATTAGGCAGGAAGTATAGTGTGTTTTACAAAGGACCTTCCCCAGATTCCTCCCAGCTGTGATATTAATATGCATGCAAAGTCTGACAAAATACTGATTAATGTCCAGTATCAGTCAGTGATAAAACAGCATCTGTTTTAATGTTAATAAATGAGGTGGCAAGCAATTTCCTTATAGAAATTACTCATGCATTTCATTTGCTAGTGACACAAGCTAATTGCAGAGTTAGAAGATAACACAGGACAGTTAAATTGGCTTATGGAGTAGTTACTCAAGCCAAGTTCAAATCTAAACCTTACTTGCATGAAATCGGGTGAATCCAGAGTTCCCATGAAAGAAGAAGACTGCAGACAATTCCTTCTCGATCCCTAGCTGCCTTTCAGAGCTCCTGAACCCAACAGGGTGCCCGGGCTGTGCTCCTCTCCCTGTCTTGACAGCCAACTCCAACGCAGTAGGTGTTTCTGCAATACTTCTGCCAGGGCAATGCACAAAATAGTGACCTGCTATACCCTTGAGGAAAGGGCATTCACTTGGAATACTCTGCTTTTAGCTTTAGCACATTTAATAGAATTTGGAGTGCCTATCTTCAAGAAGAAAACTCATTGCTAAAAATCCACTGTAGATTATTGATAGCACAACAGCTAAAGCCCCAGCTAGGAGCTACAAGCTTCAAAATGATGCATCAAAATGGCAACAGGAAGAGTTTAACCCTTGCTAAATACTAAATTATGAGAGAGAAGGAAGAAGAAAGAAGGACCATTGTCAAGTCTKTTCTCTTTCTCCTTCTCTCCTTCTGATCCACATACAGGGACCACCACCCCTGTACCTGTATTCTTTGGATTCTGTGTGGAAAGATATGACCTGAGTTCCTCTAGATCCTTGGAGGGAAATCTGTTTTCAGTGACAGTAATCACTGTGATCTGCTGCTAATTTCAGTGTACAGCAAAGGAACAGGAAAGGGACATGCACATGCTGTGCTCTTCTTGGGCACRTCCTGCAAACCCAGCAGAGGTTAGTGCTGCAAAGCTAGCTCAGGTTCRCTGTGCTGCCTATAGTCACAGCTTTCAACTACTATTTTATAGAAGAAAAAATTAAAAAGAAAAAAGGAAAACATACTAAATCTACCAGGATGTTATCAGGGCCAACAACTTTATAAGCTCACTGCAATACTGGGCTGTGAGCAAGTAACTCATTTCCACAGTGACTGCATTTAATCAAAGTCTTTTGGAAATATATTTCAAATTTACTAATCTTTATTTTAAAGCAGTGAATTTCCACTGAGCTACACAGATTTACACTCGCAAACACAAGAGAAAAATCCAACTTTCTTATAGAAAAGATGAGTAAGCTAAATAAAAGACAGATGCCTATTTGTTTTGTATTTTTTAAGAAAAAAGTCACATTAAAATGTATCCTGTTACATTTATAATAACCATACAAAGAATTCATTTATAAGATGATAATAACAAGAGGTCCAATATATCAAAAGGTGTGTGGAAATGTAATTGAAGATTGAGATCTAACATTTTGTAGCTAAAAAAAATCTATTAAATGCATATATGAAAGGATATTTTTTAAATTAAAAAWTATGCTTTGTAAGAATAAGGTATTAAAGGATTTCCCTTCATTGTCCGATGTATTCCAATAAGAATATATACTACAAATTTAGGATCCATCTTATTTTAGTGATGCAATTTTATTGTTACGCTAGTGTTGTAAGATTGATCACACTGTGATGTTACCAGGAAGCTAAACTGATTGAATTAAAATGTTAATCTTGGGTACAAATGGAAAGCAGCAGCAGGATCATACATTACCACTGCATATATAACATGGATAGTGATAAAATAAGAAAAAAAAAAAAAAAGAGAGAGAGAATTGTATAGGTGATAAAATTATATAATAAAAATAATGCTCAGGACAGAATACTGACAGTTGGAGGATGCATTCAATTGAAAATAAGCTTAWATATTAGCTTAAAGATTAAATTCAGTATTAGAGCTAACAATCTTGACTCTGTGTTAGCTTTTTTGGTCTGTATTAGGGCCCTGTTCAGTTCAGGCTTTAACACAGAATAATTCCAAGTGGAAGTATTTGATTAACTCTTGGTTATCTGTTTTTACACCCAAAAATAGTTCCTTGGTAGTAAGGGTGCATATCTGGCATATGAGTTTTACACTAACTCTGCTGTGGCTTGGAAAATGTCAGCATTCCAGCATTACAATTGGGTTATTCTGTCTGGACAGTTATATCTCTTTCAGTATTTGACAGAAATAGTTATTTTGTGTATGAGTTCTTGTCTATGCAAAGTACTGAGCCCAAATTAAAACTACAAAGCATACAGTTTAGTTCAGAGAAAAAATAAGGCAAAAGGAGAATGATCTGCTCTAGTTTGTTACAAGCATAATGCAGATGCAACCTTTGAAGCATRTAAGAACAAAATGTCGAGGTTAAAACTGAGGTTAAAATGATCTTTGTCCTAGGTACCTAATTGCTTTAAGGATTGTCCTATGTGTCATCACACTGGTACAGCATCTCTTGCAGGTTAATGCTGATGGACTCTAAAGGTCTAAAGGATGCTATGGCTGAACAGCTTTAAGTTTTACTGTAGATAGATGAAAGTTCTCATTAACAATCAAAAAGAACTTACGAGTGCATTAGATTTGTTTGATTATAAAGGCAGCACTAGCAGGCTGTATCACCACTCAGACACGCAGATGTGCTAATGTGCACTCACATCCCCATGCACCGTGCTGGCAACGTTCACCAGAGCTGCCGCGACCGACATAACCTTCTCCCCTCTGTCTTTCCCTTCCCTTTCTTCCCTCAGTTCAGTAAATGCYACCATAAGGCTTTTTACAGGTCAAAACGTGGATGTGACTCTCTTTTAAGCAGAGTGTTTCTAGTTTCAGGATAGTAACAGAGTCCGGTAGCATTCTCCCTTATTATTGAGCTACTGTTGTTCTTTATTTAACAGGAAAGGAGGGATTAAAAGAAAACAACAGAAGGAGCAAATTAAAAACATTTGCCCCATTCTGATGCATTAAGTATGCAGTAAAAATACAGGTATCCAGAAATTTGGTTTATATAGGAATAAAGGCTCAGCTCATTAAAGATAGCATCTTTTCAATCAGTAAAAAGGAACATCTGCAGCTTCCATCTATTTTCCTTCTTCCACAGGGATCCTAATCATCTTTCAGTACCTTATCATTATTACGAACCCCTGGGACCTGACGAGTGCACGATGTACCTCTCCCACGAGCGGGGCCGGAAGGGCAGTCACCACCGCTTCATCACAGAGAAGCGAGTCTTTGAGAACTGGGCACGGACTTTCAATATTCACTTTTTCCAACCAGACTGGAAACCAGAACCACTTACTGTGAATCACCCTGAGATTAAACCGGTCATCTGAGGGATGAAGACCAAAGACTGCAAGCACAGTCACATACCGTATCGGCTTTCAGGGTGTTGGACTTTCTGGGACAGCAGGGCAACCAAGATGAGAAGAGTGACGGGATTTGCAGATCAGAACTGTGACAACAGTCAGGAAGTTAGGATGGAGTATATCAAGAGTACTTTGTGTCRAACTGTACATTAAACCAGTATATAGCCTTTTCTGGCTATCTGACTTCCTGTATGTGTATGTGATTTGTGAAAAGCAACTTGAGTATCATTAGCAGATGGTTAATTCATTTTGTTTTTTTAAAGTACAATGCCACTGAATTTTCATAGTGAAAACTTATGGTATTTATTTAATGGAGGTTTTTATGCAACCTAGGCCAGTATTTTTCTAATTCACAATTATGTGGTTGTTTATCTTTCATAATCCTTCAAATCGAGAATTAATACTGCTGATGATTTGAAAGGCCTAGCTTTTTATTTACAAAATTTGTTTGGGGAAAAAGATTCTCTATAGCATGCAATTAATATTTGATTTGGAAATGTAAAATATTGGGACTCCCTTCCAGCCTGAAGCTTTTAACATCAAGAATGCTCCTATGTGCAAATCTAGCTAACTAGTTCTACAGGCTGACACCTCATTTTAATATGATGATGGTAGACAAATTCTTTTTGATATGAACATGCACTTGCTGCCATGCTATCAAACTGCTGTTTGTTAATTAGAGGTGGAGGGAAGGAGGGCAAAGATAATCTGAAAAATCACTGTCTACAGCCACACATTTGCAATGAAGAAGAAACCAACTGGGGTCAGAGAAGACTGCAGTCAGTTTTGCTTCTCATAGTCCAGCAAAAGACTGAAGTAGCAACTGTCTTCCTGAAGCAACAAGCTACAAACCAGACAACCATGGCTTGCAACGACATGGCCAAGTTTCTGAAATCAAGTTGTTACAAACTACCAGGTAATGTAATACTGACCAAACCAGCTCAAAACAGGATTCACACAGACTAGAGCCCAGCACTGTCAGAATTTCTGCCTTCCACTTCTCCAAGATCATTGTCCATCCTGGACGGCACTGAAGTTAGAAGGCGAAACAAGTTCTGTGAGTAAAAGATTGTCTCCCTAAAAACAGCAAAGTTAGCACACGTGGTAGTTTCTTTGTGAAGGAMTCCAGCATGACTAGTCTCTGCAAACTAAGGGGTGAACAGTGCTAGTTCTGTATATGGAACCTCACAGTGTATCTTATTGGGTTATATTTGGTTTGTGAATAAAGAGGATTTCAGATAAAGTATTTTTCCTTTGCCTCACAAATATTACAACTCAAATAATTTCTTCATAGTAAGTCGTGGAGGCTTGTCCTTTAGGTGATGAAATGATCTCATTAGGCATGTACTATAGCTAGAACAAAGATATTACTTTAAAATATCTAAATGCAAGAAGGTCAACCTCAGATGCAATAGATGGAACGGGGGTCAAAATTGGTATAATTTAAATCTGATGTCTTCCTCTTTGCCAAAAGTTGATACCATAAAGATGCCTCAATTCTCTAGGGACAAAACACAGCAAACAGCTCCATCAAAGCGGCCCCATCAGCTGACGTTTAACTCTTTCAATGATTGTGTTTTATTCCTGGCATCCAATTTCACAAAATTGTAGAAAGAACAGAATAGATTTGAGCTAATGGTAATTTGTCCCTTTCAGCATGGCTACTGGGGCACATATCCAGCATATATTGCTCAAATTGATGAACTGATTGATGTACTCAAATTGATGTAGAAATGATCTGTAAATCAGTCTTAAGAAGACTGCAAGACTTCATAGAGATCAGAGTAACTCCTCTGATGCTATAATCCTTTTATTAATAGCGGTATAAAAATAAAAAGATTTTGTCATGATAAAATGTAGAGCACTAAGTTTTTCTATTAATCCATAGCTTCAGGATGTGTATGCAGTGTTGAAATTAAGATGTTGCTAAAACTGGACCTATTTTTAGCATTCAGTAGGACTTACTGCATTAAGATCCACAGGCACATTTCCTGTTCACAAGACAGATCAATATAAAATAGGGACAAAGCATTAAGAATTTGAAGACARAGAGATAAACTCATACAGATCCTAATATCTAGCAGTGCATAGAATTTTGGATTGTAACAGGTTAATTTAGTAACTGTGTTCTTGTTGCTCTTGCACACATCTAGTCTTTTAAACAACACATCAAAGCCCAAACTCACTTTAGTCTCATCAGCTTCTTATGAAGTTTCAGCACATTCCCCAGTCTAATTGGAAACTGTGTGAAGGAGGATTTTCTGAGGGTGAAACACACCTGCATATATAAAAGCCACTGCAAAAGGAATGTGATGAATCCAGAAGGACAGCAAGTTTTAAACAGCAGTTCAAGACACAGATTTACATACAAATAACTGTCTTCTCCAAAAAAAAAAAAAGTCCAAAAAGTTCCAAGTCCAAAAACCTCAAGTTACCAGAGTACAAAAGAACTATAAATGATTTTTAAATACGGCAATTTTAACTTAGAAACTACTGAATTATTTTTATAAAGTCACAATTTTTGCACTACAGTATATCCTGTTACATTTCAGCCTCAAGTAAGGTTTTATGGCCTAGTTATAAAACATACGGATTTATGATAGAAAATGCTGTCAGACTGAAGATATGTAGTGCTAGTAGGCACTACTACCATTATCTGGTTTATACTGTCAACTTACACTTGTCCCTATAATTTGATCGATTCATGATCTTCAGTGTGCATCATCTCACATATTAAAATCTGTTGCAAAGCAGGTTTTACAGACAACAGCAATTTTAAGATGTATGTTGCTTCAGCTCTGAACTTCTACCAGACTCTATCCTTTCATGCCTGGCTTCATCAGAGTGGCTATTTTTCATCCCAAAGAACCACAGCTCTTACGCCATGGCATGTGCAACTGGAATTGAAAATGACAAAAAAAAAGTCTCTGCAACTAAGAATAGAAAGATACAGCCCTTGGTTTCTCTTATACTGGCACAATGATAACAAGATGCCCAGCTAACAGCATCATGATTTAAAATAATAATAAGATGCACTTTGAGAAAAATCTTCCATCCAAAGTCTTAAAACATTTCAGAAGGACAATAATCTTTATTCCTAGATGGATAGAGAAATTGAGGAAAGAGGAAGCTTTATAACTTTCTACCATGTTATAACATTAGGACCATCTTTAGAATAGAATTCAAGTCTCCTGGCTCTAGACAGCAGTATCAGGGACCAAGACTTACTAGAAAAAACAGCACTATGCAGAGGTAATTTCATATGGCTTGTACATACATATATGTATATATATGTATATACAAACACACACCTATCTATAGGTATACAATATATACATATGCACACATACATATATGTACATGTAAAAACAGCACATGAGTGCACATGCACAGAAATTGAAATTGATCAAATTCTGCAGTAGATTTTTACCTAATAAATAAATGTTGTGTACTCCTTCAACTGCTTTATTCTTGCAGGCAAATTTCTCATAAGTTCAGTGATTTTTACCYCACCTAGCTCTCAGGACACGACAGTAGGTAAATAACTTGGAAAAACAGTCCAAATACAAAGAACTGAAGAACTGAAAAAAAAATAGAAGAATATAGTTCATGATACCTGCTTATATTCCCAAGAATACAAAGATCCAAGGCTTGAGTTGATACAGTGGGGAGTCGTTGTGGCTCAGTAGCACCGACTTCTCTGCTCTGCAGAAGTTTCTTTGGAAACCCATACAAATCTATATCATGCTCCATAAAAGCTCACAGGAAGATTATGATGATCACCTCTGACTAATGAAAGTTAAATATTTTATTTGCTCTAAGGAGACACTGCTTCTAGTTCAATTAAAATTGTACCTTAAGAATAAAAAGAAACCATCATGGGTAAAATCAAAGTCAAAGAGCATTTGTAAGACTAGCAAAATGAAATTCAAAAGAGCGGGAAGGAGGTCAAACCTTACAGGTATCAGTACTTACACTTCTCCTGGCAGGATCAGTTAATGCTAATCAATTTGAATTCTCATTCAAATTGATTAGCAGACCTTACAGATCTTCTACAAGGAAAAACAAGTATCTCTGAAAAAATCTAGAAAATAAGAAATGACAGGAGTCTCAGATAATAAGAAATGTCTTTGAAGTAGAAAAATACACACACACAAAATATATATAAATAAAATATAAAACTCATGATATTTCRTAAAATGCATTTAGCATTTGCTTAGTGCTAAATAATGCTGAAACTCACACCTCTGTTGCTCACAAAAATTGTCATCAAAACTATGACTTGTCAACAGTGTGACAAGATGTCACTTCACAATAAACAAAATTTATGCAAGAGCTTTAGCCAGCATTGCTATTAACACTACCAAAACAGTCAATTACTAGTATAGCTTATCTTGTTCAAGGAATTCATGCAAATAGTGCTGCCAGAATAACTTCTGATAGAATCTGCATCTCTAGTAAGACTGCTGGCCAGAGCAGCAAAACATAGTGTTCTCTATGTACACATAAAATAAATCGATCAATCCAAATCTAAAATGCTGGTTGGCAAAGACGACAGAGTAGAATCAAACATTCTGATGCATACATCTTCATAAACTTTGAATAGAAACCTTAAACACTATCAATTTAATAAAACATGAAGAAATTCTCATTAAGGGAGAAAAAATAAGTAATTTTAAGGAATTTGCAAGTGAAACGAGCGCTATGAAATGCTGATTTCAGAGCATATTATGCAGCACATATAGGGTTTCATCATAAAGCACCAGCACTTTCAGCTTGTTAATTTTGGAAGTTCAGAGAGATGTAAAGCAGAGCTTATAGTAAGGTACACACAGCAGAGGATATCATCTTCCACAAGAAATGCATCTACCTGTGCATTTTTTCATTTTAACTTTGCCTTTCATCACTTAAACAAAAAAAAAAACAAAACGAAAAGAAAAAAGCCTTATTATGCTCTTTATTGCACACCAGTGTGGAAGTTATGGTTGAGAAGACATTTTCATTACATATCCCACTTTTCTCTGTAGCCTATATCCTTCTGGATAAATTAGCCTCTTGGGTAAAATACTTCATGCTCATCCACAGTCCAAAGGTGAGTTAATCTGGAAAATACGATAAAATTCTACCTGATTATAAAAGAGCTCTGTGGCATGGATGGAGCTTGAAGCTGTGCAAATGGCAATACCGAGGTTTCAAATGCTTCCAGKCTTTGTATGAAGGTGTGTTGTTGTTTCCTGATTCCATGAATTCATCATTCCCGCTGCATGAACTGCCTTCACTTYACATATTTTCTTCATCAAGCCCAGTCATCCTGAATGAACCTACAGATGCTTTTCAGTGCACACCACAGTGAAGCACTAGATCAGGTCTAACTATCCACCCCAAAATGTGGTATATCATTTTTCCATCTTACTCCAATGAGTAAGTCATTAGCTCAGTTTTCAGAAGTCCTCAGATCAGAACTCTTATTTCTTCCATCTATTACACATGTGGCTTCAAGTCATACATTTGTGCAATTGCACTGCTATTTGGCTTATTTGCTGGATTCCTTTAAAAAGGCTTAGCTGTGCAAAGTGCAGAAGACATCTGCACTGCACGAGTGGACTGTTTGGCCTGCTAAACACAACTGCTTTTGAAGAAGTGCCRCTAAAAGCCAAAAATTACTATAAAAACAACCAATCAATCAACAAACCACAAAGCACTTTTAATACAGACAACCTGAGACATTTCCAGAGCTGCTTTCAGACAAGAAGTACTTGAGGAATGAAAAGCATCAAGCAGGCAACTATATAGTGACTCTGAGACCATCTATTTCAATCTGCATGTAAAAATGTTAGAAATGCCTGGAGCAAAGTTTGTTCCATTCTGGTCTAATTGTTGTTCTCACTTCAGTTTAATCACCTTCACAGGCACACTTACTGAGTGTTTCTATTCATAAATTGCATTTTAATAACCCACCTAATTGCCTTCTTTACCCCGAGCAGATAAGCTTTTAAAAAGACAGTATCTTTTGCATAAGTTCAGCTCASTCCTGTTGATTTTTCTACCTGCTTTCTGCAAACGGTACTGAAAAGAGAACATGGAGAAGCAGGTTCTGAATAAGTTTAAACTGCAACAGAAGCAAGTCAGGAGCTCTATCCTTTTCAAGGTGTTCCAAAACTTGAATATAAAATTAATTTTCGATAAAAATAATCATTCCAACAAAAAAATGAAAGGAAGTATTAAGGCTGAACTTAAAAAATGAAAAATACAAAGCTGTAGAGATAGTCACATAGGGAATATCTTTGCTTTAGATGTAGTGTAAATCCTATTCCTCGTATTTAACAAATGCAGCTAAGAGTATACTTTGTTCAGGAAAAAAAAAAAAAAATCAATAAAAAGTTCCAGGTACCACAACTTTGTAGAGAGGTTGAGGTGAAATAGGCAAGAATTTACCACTGGATAATGAATCATTTGCATCTTTCTCCTCTTCTTCTATGTCTTTAAGATGTATGGAGGGAAAAAAACGTTTTTATACCTAGAAGATGTGCTTTAGTGCTGTGTGATGTCTCCAACATCAGCGCTTTGAAAAAGCTCAAAGCCTCAAAATCTGCCTTCTCTGATGCCCTTCCACTCACTTTATACTTGCAGTCCTGTGAGAAGTCCAATACCCCTAAACTGAGACTATGTTGCCAAAATCAGTCTGAAAGAGAAGGAAAAAGGACAACAACAAAAATGTTTAAGTCTTCCAATTTGTATAGTCTGTGCAATATGAAAATGTTCAAAACCATATACTTCCAAGATGATGATCCTGGCTCTGATATTATGTGAGATTGCAAACAATTCCTAATAACTTTTAGAAATACTTTTGAAAATTACACTATGTATATGTCAGTTTTATTATTAGGATAGAGAACAGCTCTCTTACCTGGTGGCTTGTTTTGATACACGAACAAATTTGCTCTTCTTGTCACTAATATGACAGTACAATATATAGACAAAAACCATTTAACATACATTCATCAGAACAAGTCCAAGAAGAACAAATCAGTACGTCAAAACAGAATTTATAAAATCTAAATGACAAAATTGAATTTCCAAGTGCATAAAAACTACAGAATAAAGGGATACAATTCATTACATTTCCACCCTGATGCCAAAGTCAATTTTCCTTTGTGCAAAAACCCAGTGTATGGAAAACCAAAGAAGCCTTCACATCCGCAGAGTTAAAAGACTATGCAGGGTTTCTAACAGACATGGCAAAGTCATACTTTTACTCTTGCTGTTTTTTTCTTTTCTTCAAGTAGATTCTGTAAGGTCACTGACTGTACTTTGTGTTCACTTTTATCGACTCCTAGAATTATAAACCCAAAATTAAGGTAAAAGGACTGATCTAAGGGTTGCTCTTAAGAGAAAAACAAGATCAATCTATTTCTACATTATTTTTACTTGGGGGGGTAGAAAGCTTTCAATACGCCATGCCAAAGCCTGCGAAGTGGCTTAAATTTTTATTGTTTATTTTTTTATTATTATTATTTTATTGATTTTATTTTTTTTTTATTTTATTAATTTTATTGATAAATTACACCTTAAATAGCATTTTGCATACTGACCAGTCCTTCGAACATAGGTGACCATTTCTAAATATTTCTGAAATTTACTTAAAAGCCCACAGGAAACAATCTGCCCATTTACATTTCATAATCAACCTTAGAGATACTGCTAAGATCTTTAGGGCTTTAGGGTCCTTCTCCACCTTTTTAACTTAACCATGAAGAAAAGTTGCTCAGAAAGCATGAAAATATACTTAAACAATTCTAAAAAAAAAATAAAAAATTTAGATTCTTTTCAAAAAAAAAAAGTGCAGATCATTTCAAATGCACATTTGTAAGGGATGTTTCAACACTGTTTTTTACTATGGCCATATTACACATATAAAGAACTCTGATGGCACCAGAGAGTCCCAAGTAGCAGTCAGTGCAAAGTCTTGCTCGCTCAGCTTCAGAAGATGTGTTTCATGTGCTTGATTCCGTACGTTTTAAAGAAAACCATGATAATCAACGCCCAGAGTCCTAGAATGAATCCTCCAGGAGGATGCCAGTCCTTCTGCTTTGGTTTCTGAACAAAAGAAAAACAACATGAGAACACACCCAAATATATATGTATACAATATACCCCACACTTAGTTTTCACATTGAACAGGCACTCTATTTATGAGCAGGGAAAACAAAAAACCTCGCAGTACAGGAAAATACCAAAACAAGCTGCATTTCTTCATCAAATAGAAGCATCTTCTTAATGTGTCTGAAAGGGCTTCAAAGCTGTCGAGAAGTGAGTTTACACAAGCAAGCAGGGAAGGAATGAGCACGAAAGGCCACTAGAACTGTGCCTGAGACTTCACCTTCCCSGCACATTATCTGGGGAATATGGTCAAACACATATTTATAGACAGAATTTGTAATATCTGGTCTCACATTAATATAAGAGAAAAATGTTGTGGGCATAAAAAATAGTTCCTACAAGACAAAATATGAACAAAATGGATTGCTGTTGTTCCCCCTYCTCGAATGTTTTTTACAGCTCCTTCCATAGTCAGAATTATTTAAATAAACAGACACCAAACCATACAAAGAGCTGAGATTCATTATTAAACACAAAGTAGGACTGTTTTTAACATCAACCAGTTTTCCCCTCATTAAGTTTAACCACCTTTCTTCAACTGTAGAAATACATTGTGCAGTTTGTTAAGGCTTACTCTATCACACACTTAACAGTCCAACAAGACAAGGCTCACCTGTTCCCCTCCTGCTTCTCGCATATTTATAGAAATTCCAGATACTCTCCATTCTGTGAGAAATACATTGTAGAAGATGGAGCTGCTGAGTGCCCCAAGGATTTGTCTTTAGGGTTTAGGGTAGTAACGTGAATACCAAGTTTTGCTTGTATCATGACAAAAATTCTGGTATTTAGAACTCAGTCCCACACACATATGTCCACTCTTGCCCTCAGCAGGCATGTCTGCTGTCAGCAGATCTGCTAGACACACAGAAGATTTTTACATACAGTGTTTGCTGAGCATACTGCTGTCTTACTAAAAGATTTGCATGACTTTGTGCAGAATAATGCACAGGGAGCATAAAGAATATTTTGGTGTCTTTTTGTTGCATTTAAGTCAAATTTAAAGTTACAAYTCCAGCATGTGAAGAACTATTAACAAAATGGGACTGTTCCAACTTCTGCATGTGTCTGCGTATGGAAGCTCATCATCTTCCACAAAACACACCAGGTGGCTGCTGAAGAGCAAGGCAAGAAGGAAGAGATTGCAACGTCTGCTCTTTCAAAACAGCTTTCCTATCAACAAAACACTTGTGGATTGCTCAGCTTCCATTTCCTAAAACTAGATAGTTTTAAGATTTTTGTTCAAGCTTGTAATTAAAAAGTGGAAGAAACAGTCATGTTACCTGTGACAGCTAAAGAACTTGATTCCCTAAAACATCAGTGAGTTTATTCTCTCTCGTAGAGGGACCACAGAATTAGCATTACACTTTACGTGAGTAGGAACAGAAGCAAAGATTTAAGCATATACCCGTATACGCACCCCACACACAACTTCCTGAGAAGCCCACATCCACWGCAATGTTTGCAACCTTGGAAATTCAGCACCTCACTAACATGCACTAGCACACATCTCTACATAAACACCTCAAGAAATCAATGTTAAATGTGCAAAAAGGCTGCCAACAKATCTTAAATCGGGAAGCAGCAGCATACCCTGCTTTTCCACCCCAAAGAACTTTCTTGTTTAAATCTGCCTAATTAACCCATAACTTCGTATGCATATTGCAGTGCTCATTTCATCAAACCCGTGGTACTATCAATCTTGCTTTTCTTGGATCTCAGGCAAATTCTTTACTACGAAGTGGCACCTGACCCTTCTAGACAAATGACTTCAATTTGCAGTCAGTGACACTAAATGCCTGCCTCTCCTATTTTGTATAAAACACATAATTTAATTTCTTTGAAGAATTTATATGAATAAATATTTAAAAGGTGATCTATGAGTATGGTTTTACATTTTGTCATGTCAGGTACTCAAGCCTCCTCCATGAAATCTCACCAGAAAACAGCCTAGTACAGCAATGTCCCTGCAATGGAAAATCAAGGACACACTAATAGTCATTTTAAGGCCATGTGCCACAGCTTTATAATGTCTGTGATACATTATCATTATAAACATCAAGGTTATCAGAAAAAAATAGCTGGGGATATACATGTTACATTCTCAGTCATCTTAAGAATAAATATATCTTAATAAATAGGAGGATTTAAGTACCTGGAAACTGAAACCTACATGAAAATACTAAASCACAATAAAAGGGCAGAGATTCAGCTCTCCTGTATGTCTGTAAGAGTCAATAGTGAGGTTAACTGAGCACAAAATTGTGTTGCAATATGCCAGTATTTTCCAGCAGTGGCATACAGGCAATTGAAACCTTGTGAATACCTCAAATGGGATGAAAGGTGAAATTCATGCTTAAGCCAGCCGAGTTAGGGGCCAAGGTGGGATGCCCTTCGATACAGCACCGTGCAGCTCGGCGGTGGAAGCAGGTATAGGAATGGACAGGATTTCCCTACACATTGATACCAATTCTGTAGATGAAATTGTCCCTTTTTACAGATTTTAGGATGATCAGAAAGCATTATCGAATACAAAGTTTCTACCAAATTCTTTAAAAAAATCAATGTTTTGCCAATGCAAATGGCACTGCTTAGGGTATTATTCCAAAAAAAATTCTCTTAAAATGTTTTTGTGGGAAAATCTACATGCACAAAAGAATTGCAAAATACTGCAATATTTTAATTTACAATGAATTATATCTCTTTATTATATCTGAACTGATGTATTATTGAAAGATCAAGGACAGCTTGCAGTACTTACACATAGCTTTCTTGTATTTGGCACTGCTCGGGAGGAGGAAGTTCCTATAATTCCAGCTACTTTTCCAACCACAACTCCACTATAGTAGCATCCCCTTAAAACTTTTCTGGGCACTGTTTATATAATTGATATCCTAAGCATTGGTGAATAACATTACACACAACTCCATTATAAATACCCTTTTTATCCCTATAATAACAGCTGTAACACATAGGTGAAATGCATCTATAAAACAGTACAGTCTTCCATGAACAAATACATTTAGCAGCTTAAGGGCTAGTCATTATCAAATTGCCGGAAATTCAGAATTATATAGATAGGTAGCTAAGCAACAGCATTTTCCTGCTGCGAGCAGCTTTCTGTTGTACTCTTTATAGTTCTGGTAGGATCGTTATTCTGCAGAACTTAAAAACAGTTAACAGAAAGCTGCTCCAAGTGCTGTAATTAAGGAGAGGATAAAACAGTGTATTTTCAAATTGGATGGGTCTGTAGGGACCCTAATGGAAAGTATCCAACTCTTTCAGTGAAGGTGTTCCATAAAACCTACAGTACTTGTTATTGCACTTAAAACAGGTTTTATGAAAAAAAAATTAAAGCTGAAGCGGTAATTAAAGAATGGTTTAATTTTTAAAGGTTAAATCAGAACAGAAGTAAGATTTAAAACATTATGTTTTAATATTTCACGTGCAAAACACTATGCTTACSTTTTAATACAACCCTATAATCCTCTTTCAGCAGAACTCTCCTTTCCTTCAGTGCCCTTAATAAGGATTAAAATATTTCCAAAGAAAGCTTTGGGTTAAATTTAAAACCCACATTTGGAGGGTAGCTGTAGGCAAGCAATGTAGAATGTAAATATTGCAGTACCACAGAAAGGAAAGTATTCATTTCCAAATTGGGATAGGCCAATTCTAAGCCTGCTCCAGCATCTTTCAGATGAAGAGGCAAAAACCTTAAAAAATCTTTTTGCCTCATTCAGAGAAGAGGCAAAAACCTTAAAAATGATGCACACAATAATTTGCTGTAGGAAACCTTCTTCCCAACTTGAGACAGATAGTGCTGATTTATATCACAAAAYGAGAGTGCAAAGTACCTATATTTGASTGCACGTGTGCSGGCACACACAAATATATATAYAATATATATATATATACACACACACACAAACACACACAGACACACACACAGAGTTAGACCCTGCTTAATTCCATCTGAAGTTTCATTTCAGAGTGTCTAGGTCCAGTTTGATGGCCCAGTCATCTAATAAGAGCTTAATATGCTTTTGTGCCCAAAGCAAAATTAAAGTCATAAGAGAACTCCAACATAAAGGATGAATGTTGATCTACAAATAATTTAAAGTGGATTTGTCTAATCATCCATTTTGCATTGCATTTGCATCCACACTGCCATGATTACCAATATCTCCAATATTACGATGAAGAAATGTCATTTATCAACAACAAAAGCTCATGGAAGATATGGAAAGAAAATTAGTGAAACTAAATTAACAGGTCAAYAACACCAACTGCACTTTAAGCAAATCTAATTTTTTGAAACCTGTAGGATCAGCATTAACTGCACCACAATACGTTACAACAGGTTTAATTCACATCGTTCTAGAAGGGGTAAATCTCCAAGAGCTTTGTAGAAAATAACTTCTCAAAAAACTGGCTGTTCACCTATTTTCAATTTTCAGTGCTATCTCTCAGCATTACACAGCACTTTAAATTGCTTTTAGCGGTTTACAAATTATTCATTAATCTTCCAAACAGTGACACAATATATAATATCCTTCCTCTAATCACAGGAAGTTTTGGTAGCATCGGAAACTCAGGACAGCTCTATTCTCACACAAGCCACCACTCAGATGAATGATGCCCTCCTGGCAGACACCCCTAAGGACTGAGCCTCCAAAATAAGACATGTGAGTTGCCTTATCCAAAGCTAAGAAATGCAGCTCTGTACGGAGAGCTGCAGCAATTCCTATCTATCTTTGGTAGACCAGCACAGGAGAAGCCTTACCTGCTCAGTTAGCAGTGAGTCAGGAAGCGTGTATGCTTATGAAAGGAGAAGAATAAAGTCACAGGATAAAGCTATATTTAAAAAAAAAWAACTCTTCATCTTTTTAAGGTCTACTAAGCAAATTTTATGCATTTTAATCAACATCATACTCTAAAAG